TCACGTTGCCTGACGCTCAGTTGGGCAGCCATGCATCCAACAGCAGGGCACTTGCAGCTCAGCGTCCGAAGTTCCAGTGCCACGACTTTCCAACAGATGGATCTGTGTTGACTGAGAGTCTCGCATTGAACATCAGTGCTCAGTCCGTGAATCTTGGTGCCAAGGAACCCACTCAGTTCAACACACGTCAGCCGCAGCTATATCTTGTCGCGCACTAATAGCTTCTGATCGCCTTTTCTTAGCGATACTCGACTGCGTTTACCATTAGAGGCTAGGGGTAGGCGTGCATTGAGGGCCTTGAGAGCCACGGGCTGGCTAGAGAAATACTGAGAAAGACCAAGTATGATATAATGTATCGTAAGGTTAGCGATCGTTGTGATGCGCTGCGATGCGGTGCGAGGTGGTAGAACTCCCAGTTTTGTTATTTGAAGCCGTGATCGAGCCCGGCCAATTGGGCCCACTTTATATCGGAATAAATTTTAAGCACTGTCACTCTATTCGGAGGGCACATTCAATTTACTCAGGTTTACCTTAGCAGTGGAGTCCCGGTAATTAGCTCAAGATCGAATGGGCTGACGCGGAGGGTGGGGCCTGGAAAGCGCTTGGCAGGAGATGCGCGCCTAGGAGTGGCGAAGACGGCCAGGATGAGAAGCAGGGATGAGGTCTGAAAATCTGACCCGACTTTCGATGTTGTTTGTCGTGCGGCTGCTCCCCTTCGTTTCTTGTCCAGCCTTCCACCTCTGCGAGCGCACGATCGAGCCCATGACCGACGACCGAGCCCGTCTGGTGCGACCTCGAAACCGCCGACGTAGAAAATAAACGCCGCCGCCATGGCCGTGGGCAGACGACCGAGGCTCCTCGTCGCCATGGCGATCGTGGCGATTGTCGCCCTCTTGACATTCCACCAGCGCGACGCCATCGCCGACATACGCTACAAGTACGTGTCGTCCGGCGGGACAGCAACACATTCGCAGAAGACGGGCCAGCCCGACCCAGAAGCGCACAAGCTGCCATGGGCCGACTCGTTCCGCGACCACTTCCGCGCCGTAACGCGCCTCAAGGGTCTCACCATGGCCGAGGCGAAGGCCGGGTGCCACTGGCCTGAGGACCAATACGTGAATTTCCAGTACAGCCCCGATACCGAGTGGGTGGTAACGCAGCGGTCCGACACCGAAATTGTGTCGCGTCGCAAGCTCTGGCAGGAATACGTCGAGCGGCAGATGATCCCGTGGGACAAAGTCAAGAACAAGTTTGCAGGGAAAGGCATCGTCGTCGTGGCCGGCACCTCCGACACGGTCATGCGGCTCAAGGTGGTGCTCCGGCGGCTGGCCAAGCTGCAGTCGAAGCTGCCCGTCGAGGTGCATTACTGGGACGACGAGACGGACGAGAACACGCTGAAGGAGCTCGCAGGCATGCACCACGCCATCTCATTCAACGACCTGTCCGACCCGGCGACCAACATCATCCACATCCGCAAGGACCGCCTGGTCAACTATCAGCTCAAACCGGCCGCACTCATCAACTCCAAGTTTGCCGAGCCGCTGCTGCTCGACTCGGACAATGTCCCCGTGCTGGACCCGGCGGTGCTCTACGAGTCGCGCGTCTACCGCGAGTACCACACCGTCTTCTGGCCCGACATTGCACGTTCGCGGCCGCAGAACCCGGCGTGGGCGCTCACCAACACGGCGTGTCGCACGGACGAGTACGAACAGGAGAGCGGGCAGCTGATGGGTGGACAAGCGGCGGTACTGGTACCACCTGCAGCTCGCCTCGTGGCTCAACAACGAGCAGGGCGACTACTGGAACGAGTTCCTGCTGGGCGACAAGGACATGTTCCGGTTCGCATGGCACGCGCTCAAGACGGACTTTGGCCGGCCTAGGAAGTGGCTCACCAGCGTCGGCACGCTCAACGAGGGATTCTACTGCGGGCACACGTTCGCGCAGCACCACCCGGACGACGGGCGCGTCGCCTTCATGCACGGCGGGCTGGCCAAGTTCGTGGCGCTCGAGGTGATTCGCTGGAACAAGGAGGAGCGCGGCGGGTACTTCCGCCACTACAAGCGCGCGCCCAGCGACGAGGACCCGTCCGTCAGCGTGCACGTCGACATCATCTTTGACGGGGCCGACTACAAGCCGAACCACACCGAGAACTTCAAGGTGACCATGTGCACCGAGATGAAGGACGTCGAGGCCAGGGACTTTGACGAGATCCTGCCGGGGTGGGAGAAGGAGTACCAGGCGGTGGGCGGTTACTGGCAGCTAGAGCAGGAGACGCGGGAGAAGGCAGAGGCCGGGAAGGCCAAGGGTGGGGGCCCATAATTCATGGTGTTTTTCCGAATGAGGTTCTTCTTGTCGAAAGTTTATGCCCATATCTGTTGGGAATAATCGATGTTCACGGTCACCATCTGGCCATAGGCATTTCGCCCTGCGCGTGCCTCTCCCGCCGCCGACCTGTCTCGGGTTGAGTTCGCACGTGTGACGAATCTTAAGCCCCAACTTCTGAAAGGGACTCCTGAAGGTTATAACTTGACAACGGGGTGAGGTTCGGTGAAGCCAAAGGGTTCACAATAAGCAATGTCCAACGGTACTGACAACCTTGCACTTGAGTTGCTTACCGAGGAAGTTACAGTGATGCCCGCAGGCCTAAAGATCGTAGACTATATACAGCTTCCTCCCTCAGGTACCTCCGTACCTGTGATCACCGCGATCACCTTCTTGGCGGTGATATTGGTGAGCCGCTCACCAGTCTGCCCGAGATCCCGGTGATCCCTTTTGCAGGCCCCGTCTCAGCTTTCCCCAGGTGTTACGCCTCTTCATTGGCTTCAGTCGCCCCACCAGGCCTCGATATATGGTTGGTTCGTGACAAACAGCCCTAAAATTAGAACTCGGTAAATCCTTTCAATCGTTCTCGAATTGCCGACTTAACGAACCTCTCTTGAGGAGTCCTCCAAATCCAATATCCTCCCCATCAATGATTGATGACAATAGATATCTCGCTAGACTACTGTGTAGATTACCCGCTTCTAATCTTCCATAGTCCAGTCCTTATAAAGATAGAATTTAGAGCGCTCTCTCCTCATCTTCTCAGTTAAGCCTAGCTTACGTGTTAGCTTCATCCTTATCCGTCTTAACTTGCAGGGCCTGATCAGGTAAATTTGCTACGCAGAATTCATGGCGGTGCGGTGGAACTTTTGGTAGGAACCTCCGTACAGTCGTGTTCGAAACCGACTTCCGGTCCTCTGGATCTTCTCCGCACAGTCCCTGTTGTCGGGGCACTGACAGGTACGGATCCGTACAGCAGATGATCTGCCAGGTACGAATCTATCCTTCGGACAAGAATGAAGCCGAAAGGCTCCCCTTACCATCGGTACAATGAGAAAAGCGATTTGTACTGTAGCTGAACCGTGATCGGTGTACTGGTCGCATGAATTATTCCTTCAACTACACAGTAAACCAAGACCCGGCAGTGCCTGTAAAGCACCGTAAAAAACTGTGCGATAGAAGACATCAGCGATAACGATGTGCCCACTCGAACCGGGCAATCACCCAACCATCCAACCTGGCGTCCAATCAACCTGAAGATACCCATCCGTTGTCCCTCAAAACAAACAAGCCTAACCAAAGTATTACTGTGTTAGCGACTGGATTTAGCAAAGCAACCAATGGCATCTTCGCCCGGCACTGCCTGGCCGGTGACATCGCCATCCTCGCTTCTTTTAGGCCTTCCCTCACACATCCGACACCGCATCTACCGCCATCTTGGCCTGACACCGTGGGGCAGCACCCCCCACCGCTTCTTCCTACACGCTGGCCAACTCAGATTGCGCCGCGGGCAGGACTTTTACGAGTCGCGCTTCGTACCAGACCCGGACAGCTTCCACGGCCTGCTGCTGTCCTGCCGCGCCATTCACGCTGAGGCCTCTGCCCTGCTCTACTCCAAAAACCAGTTCATTCTCGATTACCACAGGCCGCACGCGGAGTATGGTCATGACACCACGCTCTGCCCTTTGCACACGCTGCATGCTCTGACCGCTCCGTCACTGCGGTGTCTCTCGAACCTCAAGATCGTTCTTAACCAGGCGTCCTGCCACCACCTCACCCGACACGGCTATGACATCGCCTGCTGCCTCGAGGATGGCATGAATTCCAAGTATTGGGGCATCATTTGGTGTGAAGAGAAGCACCAAGGTCGCCTAAACGGCCACACGCACCAGCTTCCCCTTCTGACTCCGGACCCTCGGCGCTACGAGGACGATCCATTGGGTACGGCTCACGCAGTCTTGACGGAGTGGCAATCGACCGCTCACCTGTTGTCCAACGTTGCTCCGGGGCGCCTCACCTTCTCCCTGGTCTGCGATATCGACCCACAGCACGCCCAAGCATTGGAGATAGCAAATGCTATCCTTGCACCCATCCACCAGCTGCCCCCATTGCATCTCAGGGAATGCCACATCCGTCTGGCCAAGCACAAGCACCGGCAACTCGAGCAGCTCGCTCGAGATGCCATCTCACACGCCTGCGGCATCCCGACGCAGCCCCTCCAGCTCCCACCGACCCCGAAGGCGACCGATATTACCTTGCTAACCCTGCCACGCGAGCTCCGCCTCCGAATCCTCGAGCACACCGACCTCGTAACCCCAAGACGTCAAGTCCTATGGAGCCGACAAGACCGCGCATACGCAATCTACCACTTCCGCACCGACCCAGACGACTCTCCCGACCATGGGTACTGCAACCAATTCTCTGACTGCTTCCGCAACGGCAGCGCCTACGAAAGCGTCGGTTGCTTTTGCCGCCGGCGCCACGCGGCCTTCTCCTCCACATGCAAGTGTTGGACCCCGCCGGGCGCCGACCCCTTCCTCATTTGCCGCACTCTCCACCACGACGCGCAGTTCGTCTTCTTCTCCTGCAACCGCTTCATCATCCACGACTACAAACCCTCCCCGCCGTGGGTCGTCCCGCTGCTCGAGCGCCACGAGCACTACGCGCCGGATCCCATTCCGACTACCCCTACCCCCACGACCGTCTCGCGGCCTCCGAGTTCCTGCGGGATCTTGTCCCTGCCCACTCACTGCCCCACCTCCGCTTCCTAGAACTAGTCTTCCCGCCCTACCGTGCCTCCACCTGGCCCGGCACCCACCACCCCGCCATGCAGGACTGGGCGTCAACTGTTTCCTGGCTTCGGGACAAGCTCAACCTGCCGGGCCTCACCGTCCGATTAGTCGTAGCAGAGATGGACGACGGGCCGGAGTCGTACTACCGCCATATTACTATCGAGGAAGGAGCGACGGTTATGGGGGCGTATATGGATCTGGCGCGGCCGCTGAGGGAGCTGACGGATGCTGGGCTGGGGAGGTTCCACGCTGATTTACCGTATCCGCATAGGGAATGGGCGTATCGGGAGAAGGATAAGATTAAGAAACAGGTCGAGGAGTTTGTTATGAGAGAGAGGTATAGACAGCTCTATGCGAATGGGAGGGAGGAGCCGGCGCAGAGTGACTGGTGTTGGAGGTTTTATGGCCAGTAGGGACGGAGTTGCGTTAGCGGTGGTAGAGAACACTAGTGCTCGGATGGTTGAATTTATCCGTTGACATCCCTATCGAGGCCGATCAAAGAATAGCGGTCAAACTGTGTATGTCGTTTGAGCGGATCATACCTCAGCGAAATAGCCAACACGTGGAGAGCGTACCATGGCCTTGACGTCCCTAGTGGAAACTAACAGCTCCCGTCATACCAAACGCTCCGTCCCACCACCGGAATGGGTCCCTCCCAATCTGTGCCCCCAGCCCGGCGGACGGGTTCAAATGCAGATTCAGTGAGGCAATCGTCTCCATCCAGGGAGCGGATGCCATCATGGGATACCGCGGCCACCAGTCAGGTTCCATGGTTGCAGCAGCAGTGTGCCCCTGCCCGCCAGAGACGTTGTGTGGGTGTTCTTGTTCACCGGCATCCACGGCCCCGCTATTACCACGAGAACGTCCCCTTCCGCGGAAGACGACGATCGTATCGACGTATCAAGTAGGATCCCAAGGAAGAGTGTCTAGCGGATCGCCATGTGAGTGTCGTCTGGCGAGGCGCCGCGGATGGATGCAATGGAAGCACGGAGGAGCTGGATGTTGGGATCGGACTCAGTTACGTCGGGGTTTGCGGTGAGAGTGCTCTACAGACAGGTACGTTAGTGTAAGTAGGACTTGCGCAGACTTAGTCGCGGAGCAATCATAAAGTATCACGAGCCTTCAGCAGATGCAGGTTTGCAGTAACGATAAATATCCGGCATCGGACAGGCAGGTATCTCAGGAAAATTGGTAGGCGCTAGGTCAACGACAACCGAAAGTATGTGGTAGCTGAAAGTCTTGGCCCGGTCCGCCAAACGGGCGGGGGCCGTTTCCTTGGAGTTGGACATCCCGTCGGACCTGTCCGCCTCCGTGTAGGTGCTGTTGTGGTGTTGCATGGCGTAGCTGGCGGGAGGGAAACTGTACATGACCAAGTAATGGTACTCGAGGTCAAGCCATGCCCGGGTAGTGTTGTGGCTCGTGGCGGGACTTAATAGGTTCTGTCAACACTGCTTCCGTAAAAGAAGACCTTTGGGTGGCCCACTGGGATTGAAGCAGGACGCATGCTGGGGCTGCCAGCGACCCAGCGCTCTCTCGAGATGTTCAAGCTTGGGCAGGAGCCTAACATTGGCCAATGTCAGGCCACCCTGCTTAACCGATTGAAGCAAAAAAATAAGACGATCGAGTCTTGGCAGTAAGGTCGTAATAACTTTCTCACAAAGCTGTTTAGGGGAGGATGTTTGCAAAAGGTAGTCGAATAGCGGCTCGTGACAACTTCTTGGGTTCGCCTGTAGCCGGTTGCGTAAAGGAGGAACCATATGGCCAGTAATGCTGAACAAGCGCTCAACTTCGGCACTCATACGAAGCACCGTGTGTAGACTCAACGCCGTATTGTTGAATGTCGACAGAAGGGTTGAGGTAGGAGAAGGCATCGCGGAGATAAGCATGTTCAGCTGTGCGGAAAGGAAGATTGGCGCTGATGGGCCATTTTACAATCCTCCGTTGGAATTCAGCTTTATCTAACGCACTGATCAAGTGGTTGGCCATCCTCTGATCTCCGGGGTTGTTCGCATTGAGATTGGAGGTGGCGATGGATCTCGAGTCGCTGCTCTCGCGTTGGAACTTGGCGGTAGAAGACGGCGGCCGCTTACCCATAGGATCGCTAAACTGGTGAGACTTGAACAGGTGAATCTCGACGTTCGCGAGGTTTCGTGGGTTATAGGCGGCCGGCTTCCGGTTGCGTTGTTGGATACATCGAAGGCATACCCATGCACGGTCTTTGCCATTGCGCGAATCATCATACCCGAACCTCCATACCGACGACCACGCTGCCCCGCTGTGTTCAGTCAATAGGTAGCCGGGAAAGCGTTTGAAGGAGGAAGGCTTGATCTGCTTCAGTACGCGTAGGAATAGCGGCGACCGCGGCAGGTGCTTCTGTAGCCATTATTGTGGCAGGAAGGCCAGAATGTCGACGTCGTCGGAACTTGAGCTGTAGGGCAGTGAGAGTTCTGCAGACGCCCTCACCGCTTCGTTGTGACCCGAGAATCTGGACCTCCACGGCGATGCGTTAGATGAAGGCGGGCCGCCGCGCCGCGCGGCCCCCGCGGGGCGTGCCGTCCAGAAGAACCTGGATTGAGTAATGGATGGTTGTGTCCTGCGTAGCGCCGCCGGATACCTTGACGATCTCGAGGGAGTGGACGACGGTGCCGTTGGTGACTGTGATGACGGGGGGTTGGAACGTGAGGGCCAAGCCGGCATCATAGGAGATGACTTCTGGTTGGATGGTGACATGACGCCGCCGGTCTTGCTGGTCACCTGGGAAGCCTGGCCCTTGCCATTCACGCCCCTGCCGAGGATTAGCGTGTCGATACCGATGACGCAAACTTCTGCCCCGAGCAGGGCGGTAATGATCTCTTCCAGGCTGTGCCCGCCGCTAGGGTCGTGGCTCGGCTTGTCGCTGACCGAAACGATGATCCGGGTGCTGCTGCCCAAGGGGCGGAAGCTGACGGCGCCATTAGCAATATGTCACGGGGGCTGCCAAGAAGCGAAGAAGACGCCCAACTTGCGCGGAGCGAGATAAGAGGCCTGCCACCAGCCTTGTTTCCTGCCTAAGCTGGTGGGACAACTCTCCCAACTAACGACCTCCTCACCTGGCTGCCCGTCTTGCCGATTCCTTGCCCGTCATTGATCTATCTCGGCGGAGCTGTGGTTGCGAGGGACACGACGTACTTGTTGGCCAAGCTAAACTCTGCTCCAGGATCAACGCCGGGTGTCGTTCCAAGAGGACGCAGCCGAGATCCAAAGAGGAACTGCTGCGTCAGGCAGAGACGGCCATGAATAGCGGTAACAGGCGGTTTCTTGCGCAAGTCTACATTGACCTGGTTCAGCAGTCCATGGAGGAAGGAGACATCCGTCAAGCAAATGAACACCCATCTGGCAACCCTGGTTGCAACCCAGAGGCTGAGGTGACAGTTATAGCAGCTGTGTGCTTGCATGGGCCTTGAACATGACCAAGCAGGCGTCGCTACCCGCCCAACACCCCGAGAAGATGCCCTATCGTTTAGCTGAGCCTCGATACCGCCAGAGAGCCTTTGAAAGATGTGAAGTTTATTTTGCTGGGCTGAAATCGAGAAATCGGTCTCGATGTCACTCTAAAAACGGGGCATCGCTGGCGGCCAACACTGCTGTACGTTATAATACGGCCGGTAGCCATGGATTTAACGCCCTCACTGTCACCTCTATCTTGAGAATGCCATGGACTATACCCTATATAACGCTTAGACCAAACTGACAGGACAATCGAGAGTACATCGGGGCGAGCCGGCATTCCGTCAACATAACCTCACCACATCGGGTCGATACATAATTCAGTATAGGTAAGTTTACTAGATGCCATCGCTTATGCATTGTCCACCGGCCAGCAACAAGCACATAAACGGCAACGCTGCCCTAAGCATTGTTGCTGGCCGTTCATGTGGGGTATGGCCTAAATCATGTGTCTGCCACCCCTTTCCCTCACTATAGGCGCATCATCCACCTCATAAGAGCACTAGGGCTACTGCGGTACGCAGTAGTAAACGCTCGAGCAGGTGTTGGCCCACTCGGGGCCGCTGGTGGTGAACAGCGTGCGGCCGTTGTCGCGGTAGCAGTTGAAGTTCTTGTAGCCGTTGGAGGCCCACCTGTACACTCTCAGTCAGCTTCACTGCTATACCTCGGTAAGAATCAGAGGACGCAGAAAGAAAGGACATACCCAGCCCACGAGTAGAGCGGACGGCTCGCGGCGTCCGCGTCAATGTGCGTGACGACGCTGACCCCCGTGGGGAACTTGCACGACCTGCCGTCCTGCTCCCACCAAACGTAGTTGTCCGTCGTCACGGCGCACTGGTCGTTGCTGGCGGGCGCGTTGCCGTTTTGTGAGTTGGCACTAGCCGAGTAGTACTGAAAGGGAATCGTTGTCAGTGGATGACCAGTTTCTTGTTGCCTTGAGAGTGCCAACATACAAAGATGTGTGACGAGTGGGCTTCCGGCTGGCAGCACGACACGAGGTACCGGCAGTTGGAGAGATAGAGAATTTCGGTGTCCCGCTTCTCGAGCGAGGTCTCGTCTCTGGGGCTCAGCTCGACGGGAGAGGCTGCGGCCAGGGCCAGCAGGGCGGCAAGGGCGGCGAACGATTTCATTTTGGTGAGAGCACGGAAACCGGTTAACGGTGGACTGGAAATGAGGGCTGTGGAGATTGTTGCTGTGAGAGTACGAGAGGAGGACGCAAACTCTGGAGAGATGTTGCCCATTTTATGCTCGACCGAGCGTTGCATCTTTGTATCTCACAGTGCTCTATATTTCTTGAATGCTAGCTGGATGTTACATCCTTCAATCTCACTAAATGTCCGTCCATTGACCATCGTGAATGATTACTCAACGGAGCGGTGTACCTCTGGCTCTTCCCCTGTCACTCCGGAGGGCGGATCGAGTCGAGCGCGATGCACTGTAACATGATATCTCATCGCTCGTATTGAGGTCCACCTTGACAACTCTCCCCCTCCTGTGTAGGTTGGCCATACGTTTCGAGATGTTGGGCCGATGTCGGCCGATATCAGCTTGCAACTGTAAGCGGTTGCGCTGTAAACGGCTGCCTAGCCGTGGGTTGCATTGGTGGTCCATGGTGGATATGCCGTTACTCAGCACATCCCACTCCAGGTATTGCAGGCAGTCGCTTAGAAGCACAACGCCGATGATGAGTCGACGGGACGGACCGGTTTACTTTCTCCGCTCCACTCTTGTTCGCCGCCTTCCTGCCAGCTCAGGGCGAGGTTCTATAGCTCTTCGTAGGTTGCTCCGTAATCCAAACCTCGGCTAAAAATTTGCTGGAATGCGCCGATCAACGAAGTTGAAATTTGAACGCTTACCTGAGATGTCGTGGGCAGGCCTCGTAAACGGGTGGAGTTGTGACAAAGCATCTCGCTTTTTTTCCTTGTTCTTCTGTACAGTCCGTACCTTAATGCACTTCATTGTTTGTCTGTAGCGGGCGATCATTCTCGGGAAGGAAGTTTGACCTAATAACATGCTCCGAGAATGACTCTGCTCCAGCAACCAACCTATTGTCTTCCGCTGACTGCTCTGGTGCCCTTCCAAACCCGGCTGCCGAGCGTGCTGATCTCTTTCGCTGAGATAATGGCAAAAAACAGGCGAGCCTGGGAAACTGGGATGGTGTATTCACTCCAATCCCTGGGTATCCCATACGATTCCCCTCACTAAACAAAGCACCTGTCTACTCCCCCAAATACAACCTCGGACCTCTCGGTTCATTACCTTAGCAGGCATGGGGAGGTCTTGTCGAAACGGCCAGTGTTCGGGCTGTGCAGCGGACGGGTCAGGGTCCCATCATCTCTTCATTAGCAAACATACTAAAGTACAACCTGACTGTAACGGGCTGGGCCCGTGAAGGCCTCGGCAAACTCTCGGCCAATACTCGAGATTCGGTGGACTTCTATCTTGTTCGATATCAGCGCATAGGCCAAGGATGTGGAGGTATAAGACGGCAGATATCTTGCATAGTCTATCACTCTTTTTCTTCTTCTCTCTCCATTCGAGACAAACTCGTAGAGTTCGTTACCAGCTAGTTGCAATATACTCCTGGGACCGTTACACTGACAGCTCCAGACGGTAACGGAGGACTCACGATCGGGCAGCGGCCGCTACATGCCGCACACGGTTTTACGTTGCCCAGCGGGTGAGCGCTCGCCCAGCCAGCGGCGTCAATAGTAGGCTCGCCCTAGTACTTGCCGTAGTAGCAGGTCTGGCGCCGAGCATCGTAGTCGACGTTGCGGCAAGCTAGGAGCCTGCCGCAAACCTCGATACACTTCTTGAGCGACAGCTGACGGTCGCCGAAGAGTATCTCGGCGCCATGGCGTTTGCCGCAGTCGATGTAGAAGGACTCGCCCACCCACGAGATGGGGAGCTGGCCAATGGCAAAGGGACACTCGGTCGGGCGCGTGACGGCCGCCAAGTCGTGCGTCTCGATAGCCGGCAGGTCGACCACCCAGGCGTTGCTGTGCATGTCCGTGGCTCCGCATCCGTTGGTCGAGAAAGCACTCAACTCGTTAAGCCTACAGGTGTGGTACGGGTCCTCAGGCGCATCTCGATGGGCCACAAACTAAACGCTTGCGCAGCTACACTCATCTATACATTCGGCGAAGTCGGCCGGGCACGAGGTTTCTGATCAACGCCTAGGACCGGCCACAGGTACAGCATTGGATCTAGAATGCCGCGCCATTAGGGCTTTGTTAAAATTCGCCGTCCACTGTAAGCATTGAGTAGTCAGCCGATGGTCGTTAAACAGGCAACTTACAGGCAAATGAGGAACAGATAGGCGGGCTCGCATATATAAAGGTACCATTCGGCGCCCCAGCTCGTTGCAGCTAATCGGAGACTGCGTGACACGCCATCTCGCCGATAAGCATGCTATCCCGCAAGTGCTGCGTGACGGTCTCTACTAGAAGCATCATCGCTCGGAATTGGGTGCAGTTCCATTATTTGCCCCACTTAGCCAGCCTCTACGGTTCCTTTTTGCCATTGGCTGAACCCATGTAGAGTCCTGCCTCCCGGACCCACTAAGCCCCACTGAACAGGCCTTCCACGTGCGCGCTTCTCCCAAACAGGCATCTCTTGGCGCCTGGGGTGGTAGAGTTCCGTCCAGGGTGTTGGAGCTTTCCCAGGGGTAGAGTTCCGCCCTGCCATTGGCCGAGCCCAAGAGATGCCCGGGGGGTAGGGTTCGATTGCCCGGGGGTACGGTTCCGGGGGTACGGTTCCAGGGGGGTTGAGGGAGATGCGAAGCGCGTTCTCGCGACTCCATTTTTAAAAAGGCGAAAGAGGTTCGGACGGACAGCAGATAAGAGCGACGGCCCCCAGAGAGAGACCACCACAGTTATCCGCGATGGAGCCCTTCGTCCACCTGCCACAGCACCGAGTCGTAATCTGCAAGCGCTGCCGATTCGCCTGTGTGGCCAACGAGGTACCAGCCCACTTGCGGACACGACACGCGGATGTGCCCGTCGCCGAGCGACACGCTACCGCCCGCGCGGTCCAGCAGCTGCCCGACATCATCCGGACGCAGGAGGACCTCGCCGGCTTCGAATTCCCTCCACCGACGGCCGAGGCGATCCTATTCCTCGGCCCTCCGCGGCCGGACGGGCTCAAGTGCCGCGTATGCCCGTATGTCGTCTGCCATCCGAAGAAGATCCAGGAGCACGCCCGGAAAGTGCACGGCTGGCATAACCAGCAGAGGAGCGGCAGGCCGTCGGCCGGTTCCGGTCCGCCATCGCCGTTCGACGAGGAGCTTCCGTGGATCAATGGCGTGCTATGCCAGCATCTTTTCCCCTCACGGGCTGACTAGCGGCTGGTTCGAGGTCAGCCGGGAGGACCGAACCGTCCGTGGCCTGCTGCGGGTTCTGCTACCGAAACCGATCGTGCCGACTCGGTCACCGCAAGGGAGCAGGAAAGCCGCCGGAGCGGGAAACAAGAAGCAACCACTCCTACTACCCGTCAGTTTAGAGACCCAGGCCCCCCCCGACACGGTCCGAGGCCGTGGGCGGCTGCTACCCGTCAGTCCGGATACCTAGGTACACTTGGATACGATCCTGGCCCGCGAGAAGAGATTCGTCGACTTGGGGAGCCAGCCGCGGGTATACGGCCGAGACACGGGAGGTGGCGATATTCGCTGCGTCAACTCCGTGGATGGACCGGATGCGGTGGCCGGCGACGTACAAGGGCGTGCGGCGTGACATCTTGTTCGCGCTGGCCGAGCTCCCGGACCGCCGCGACCTCGCCCGCGACCGCGCCCTCGAGCAAGGCGCATACGACGGTGATCCGACGTAACCAGCAGCTGCCAGGACGAGCAGAGAATTTCGTTCCTGATGGACGCGGTCGACCGTATGCTCGACCGATGCGACAAAACTGCAAGATATACGAGCCGGTCCGTCCTCTGCAGGCTACGGAGCTTCGGCCAAGACGGTTACAAGAAGCCGTTCGCTTTCGTATCCCGTTGCACGACGAAGGCGTACCGGCGTCTCTGGAAGCGTTATATAGCATTCGTATTCCGGAGCTACCGGCTTGCGGCAGCGCCGCGGTCAGACTACACGGGCGTCACGGACGTGCCGCTACGGGGCGAGGTGCTCCGTCGGGCGGAGACCTCTGGGATCATAGGCTCTGGGACCTTGTCGACGCGTCGTCTGGCCGATGGTCTAGCAGCACCATGCAGCACTGCACCGGCCAAGACCCTCCGGCTGGCGATGGTAGCGATAACAGCGGGGACGACTCGGACATTGAAGATAACTCGGACCTTGAAGATGGCTTGGACCTCGAGGACGACTCGGATCCCGGAGACAGCTCGGACCTGGGAGATGACTCGGACCTGGAGGACGGCGCGTATAGGAGCGGCTCTAATGACGAGTACGACAACATGTAACGGGCTGGGCCCGGTGCGAGCCTCGGCGACTCTCGGCCAATACCAAGACCCCTGATGAGGCTATTCCCACTCGCCCCACAGCACACCGAACTTTCTAGCAACGCGCTCAGACCAGCGCGCCTACGAGGATAAGTATGCTTGCGAGCTACCAGAGTCTGTCGTCTCTCCTTTTCTTCTCCAAGTTCAGTGTACTCGTAGAGTCGTCATCAGCTAGTTGCAATATACTACCTGAGACCGTTACAGCAGCCATCGCAATGGCCTTGGAGAGGATTCCGGCCAACGCCTGCCATAGGCACCTCACCATCGTCACCAGGAACCAGTCAGCGCTAGCAGCAATTAGGCAACCGCGACAACAGTCTGGCCAAGGTACTATACAGCAAATTTACAAGTTGGCTAAACTACACCAAGAAAGTGGGAACTCCGTCGATTTCCTGTGGATCCCAGCGGAAGCCAACTTCACCTTGGGCCTAGAGGCCAAGGCGGCAGCGCAAAGGACAACGAGGCAAGGACAGATACCCAACCTCCAAATGCCCCAAGCCAAGTCCACCGCAATCAGGCTGGCATTGGCCAAACAACGACAGGGGAGAGCTCTCCCGGAAGGCGTAGGCAAATTCTCAAAGGCTCTGGACGTGGCACTTCCTGGCAAGCACACTCGCGATCTCTACAACAAGTTAAAACGAAAAGAGGCCTGTATCTTGGCACAACTCCGAACCGGAATGGCGAGGCTGAACGGCTTTCTAAGCAGAATCAGAGCGGTCGAGTCAGACCTTTGTCCCTGCGGCCGAGCGAGGGAAACAGTGGAACATTTTCTATTGCGATGCGTGAGATGGGCAGCTCTGAGGGAGGACATGTTGCAATGCACAGTGGCAAGACGAGGGAGCCTCTTATTCTACCTGGGAGGGAAAGCCCCATCGGATCCAAAAATGTGGTCGCCAGACATGAAAGCAGTCCGGGCAACGATCAAGTACGCAGTGGCGACCGGGAGATTGGATCTTGACGAGGAAGGACGGAGACTGGATCAATCACAGTAGGGGAACTCCACAAACACCACAGTGGCACTGTGGTGTTTGTGCTGGCTGAGGCTGTGTGGTGACCACACAGCCTCAGCCAGCAGATCCCGCTTTAGCTGCTGAAGATAGGACGCTGAACACTTGGAGAACGCAGCCCCCAAGTCGATCTGCTAAACTAAGTCAAGAGGCAACAAGTGGCGTGAGAAAGGGGAGAGAGTAGAGGGCTTGTACGAGTTGATGATTGAACGTCAACGAATTGGATGTAGTTAGCGTGCCAAGGCCCTTTAGGCTTCGCGCCTCCGGGCGAAATAAATTCCATCCATCTATCCATGCATGCACTTGGACAGGGAAGCTGCAATAAGCCTGGGTGTGGTTTTTACCACCAGGCAGCTACATGTAAGCAGCCTGGGTGACCTGCCCCGTCTATATATTGCCCGGATGTATGCCGTATTGAGAAAGATTCTGCGGCCCTGTCTCTCAAACTTAGTTTAGCGTAAAAGGGCTGTATGATATCTTGGCAAGTTCGCGGGAAGGCGGAGTAAAGTCGGTTTCAACACGCCCCGACTGTGTGGATCGTTTGGGACCGCGCGAACGCGGTAGCATCGGCGTGGACTTGTCCGGGTGAAATTTGGTATTCGGCAAGGCGGATCGGATCGTCGGTTCGCAACGCCTGTCGAATCTCGGATTCTTCACGGCTGACGACCAGGACTCGGGTAGTGGCGTGATCGCGGTCTTGACGTCTGTTGGACAGCAACAGTTACAGGCTTGAATAGGCATAGACCAACCAGGTGACACTGCATCAATTGAGGCACAAGATGAAGCTT